CTGGTCTGCCATGGAAATGTATTTTCAGTACTGCCTTAAATATTAGCAACCAAATTAACTAGAAAAAAATACTTTAATTGCATTGGTAATATTTATTTTCCTAATTTCTAACTTTCAACAGAATGAAATTAATTAATCGAATTAAATCCAATTCCAGATCTCCAGGTAGACTAAACCCATAAAATCTGTTTAATTTGTATAAAGGTTATTTAATATTCAACAACTGATTTTGTTGGTCTATACCAATTAGTAATAGGAACTGATTTTAAGCCATGGTGCTTCAGTTCAGAAAAGGTCACAGTCTCCCATACCACAATAAATTATCAATTTTCATCCTGTCACACTACCATTGCACTGAAGTGACAGCAAAAACAGAGAACAGTGGATCAGCTCTCTTTGTGCACTGTCATTGGGATAATTTGTCTTTACCATTCATATTGGCAAAACACAACATGGGTGGTAGTTAAGATTGAAAAGTACTGACCACAATCCTTTGTGAAGTTAAGATTAGGATGGAGATATGTTGTTTGTGGGAAATATCTTTGAATCTGAGGTCACCTTTACCATTGTATATTATGGTTTGTTTGATCTCAAACATAAAATTGGTTTGAGGAAGTTTTGTCATTGCTTTCTCTTTGTAATTCAGGTTTGCAAAATATATGGAAATATGGTACTGGAATATTCATAACTATTTGAAAAATGGTTGAAATATATATTTATTGAGCATCAATAAACCCTGATCAATAAAATCCTGGTTTGATAACAATCATTGCTGCCCAGGACTTATTCAGAGCCAAATTTGCATATGGTTGCTTTGTACAGAAAAAAAGTATTTTTTTTAAATAGAAAACAGCAATTTTTGGTTAGAAAGTAAAACTTTGCAACTTTTGAAGGTTTTCTAATAATGCTATGAATTTTTTCCCTTATTTTCCCTATTTGTGAACCATCACATTGGGACCATCAACAGAAAACCAAACCTACACCTTCTTTCTGTTAACATTAGGGAAAGTGCACGATTTATTCATTAATTTGGTAGTTTTCAACCCATTAGCAAATATCACATTTGATGTTACTTTCATCACTGATAACTACCATATATGGATGCTTTTATGAAGAAAAAAAACTGTAAAATGTATGCACCTTTTCAAGTAATAGCTCTTACTAGCATGAATGACACTTATAAATTATCCTTCATAAAGTATTATTAAAACTGATTTATGAAGTATTAGAAAAAGGAAAACATCCAGGAACATCTTATCTGTTTAATAGTGACTATTAAGCAAATTTATCATATGCATTTTTTCAGTCTCTCTTCTCCAGAGTTGTAGTCCAACTGTTGTGATGGAGTCTTCAAGTAGTGATACTACTGAGAGTATTAGGAGGGGAAGAAAGACTACTCACGAGCACACTGAAGAGTAAGTGTTTTGAGCCTTTTTGAGTTATTTTTGGCTCCTTTTTTATTATTAACTAATAAACTGTACTTTAATTAATATTAGTCTGGTGCTTTAACGGGTCTGTCTTGCAACACCAACATTTAAACTATAAATTCTCCCATGAAGATTAAGAAACAAGTAGGAACTACAGTGCTTTCTTGTGACAGAAACTATTATTATATATCTTTCATTCTGTAAGTTACTTTCCTGGATATTAGACAAATAGATGACACAAAACATTTGAAATAAAGAGGATGTTGATGTTTACATATTGGAATTCCAACAGTTAAATCGTGGAGATATTGCATCTACCATCCTCTTTATGTGAAAATATAGTTCTACCCCAAAAATTCCAAAATATGTTTACATCTCATAGCTATTGTTAGTAATTTGAACTCTACAATGGAAACCAAAGTATAAACCTTCTGTATTTGGCAAACTATGTCTGCAGACTCATGGCACAAAGAGGGCAGCATCAAATGATTTTTCACTCTTGTTGACAGATGCATGCTTTCCTGACATCACACTATCCTCCAAATGCACAACAAAAAGGACACACTTCACACATTCCTCTGTAAATAAATGAAGGATAAGAACCCAACTGATATCAGCACGGCCAAAATTATTCAGCAGACAGTTTTGTCCAACAGTGAAACCTTAATAAAAGGCCACAGAAACCATCATAAATATTCTCCCCATGCAATGATAATAATGCAACAGCTATACTGTTCATCTTAATAAACAGTTGATACGAAACACTTACCGTGATGAGACCAAGTTATCACCAAGGGTCAGAATAGCAGCTTGCTCTCATGGGAGATAAATCACTTGCTCTTCAGCATGTCTGACTGCATGCCATGGCTTTCTGGCTTTCTTCTTCAAATAATGCTGGATGTGCTGAAAGAATCAATGGGAAAAGTCAGCCAAAAAGCTAGGCTTGACACAAAAGTAATATATTCATACATATTATCTTATCTTTTCTTTTTGGAATGAAGTAGCTGGACATTATTAGTTCACTTAAAAAAATGTGGATACTCTAGTACACTGAAAAACAAGGCAAGAGAGCTTGCAAAACACAGGTTTGAGATTCCTCCTTCCTGAAGCCTTCCTTGTCAGAAAACATCACCAGAACAAAATTACAGTTTTCTGCACTACCTGTATGTGCTTTACTTCCACTACAATTTTCTTATACAATTATACAGGACATAGGACCCTGAATCTCTTTTTCTTCTTTAAAAAGACGGGCAAGGAAACAATGACTGATGAAAATAGTTTGAAATTAGTACAATATAGAGAACACATTTCTTGCAGCAGCTGTATCTTTCTTGGTTACAATACTGCTTTGCGATAAAAAGAGATCATTAAATATATGCTGACAGATATACTGTAAAAAGAAAAGAAATAGCTGAAGATACATTTTAAAAGCTGTATAGATAGATAGCTAGATAGATATTGAGAGGGGGATTATGGCATGAAATTACAATACTGGTAATTTAATGTAAGAATCAGTCTGAACCACAGAGCTTTAATGTTCTCTTACAGTACCTACCTAACACTGGTATAGAAGTCACTATCTGCTGGAATTACTAAATCAAAAATACTAAAGATCCAAACTTGGAGCCATGGAGAAGAAGAACTAAGCAAGTTCCTGGACCACCTCAACAGAATCCACCCAAATATCCAATTCACCATAGAAAAAGAAAATGAGGGAAAACTGCCATTTCTTGATGTCCTTGTCATCCGCAAACCCAATCAACAATTAGGCCACACAATTTACAGAAAACCTACACACATGGATAAATGCCTACATAAAAACTCCAACCATCACCCAAGTTAAAAGAGAAGTGCAATTAAAGCCCTTGCAGACTGTGCAAAACGAATCTGTGAACCCCACCTTCTCCAAGGTGAACGGAACCACCTAAACTGAGCTTTACAGACCAATGGATCACAGACATCAGAAGAGCTGCAAGACCGAGAACAAGCCACGAGAGTAAAGACAAAGATCCACCCAAAGGAAAAGTGTTCTTGCCATATATCAAAGGAACCACTGACCACATAGGGAAGCTGATGAGGAAACACAAACTATCTACAGACCCACTAAGAAAATACAACAAAGGATAAGAGGGATCTTTTCACCTCTGCAGGAGTCTACCGTATACCATGCAGTTGTGGTCAAGTTTACATAGGGACCACCAAACTCAGTGTTCAAACATGAATCAAGGAACATGAAAGGCACTGCAGACTACTTCAACCAGAGAAATCAGCCATCGCAGAGCACCTGATGAACCAACCAGGACACAGCATATTATTTGAGAACACAGAAATGATGGACCGCTCTAACAACTACCATATCAGACTACACAGAGAGGATGGTGAAACCCACAAGCATGTGGACAATTTCAATAGAAAGGAAGAAACCATGAAAATGAACAAAATCTGGCTACCAGTATTAAAAAAAATTCTAAAACAGTAAATAAAGAACAACACTCAAAAACAGGGGGATTCCAGACAAGAAACAATCAGGGCCAACTAATCACCTCCCAACAAAGGATTCCCTCGTAAGAAGTCAGATCATGAAACTGCAGGACCGTTAAATGCTAATCTAGGTGGCCAATTGAAACATTCACACCTAGCTCCAACAGACAAGAGTTCTTTTTCCCACTCTGGACATTCCACAGATATAGAAACCCAATTTTCCTAGTTCCAACAGGCCTCACAACCTCTGAGGATGCCTGCCATAGATGCAGGTGAAACATCAGGAGAGAATGCTTTTGGAGCATGGCCATACAGCCCGGAAAACTCACAACAACCCAGTGATCTCAGCCATGAAAGCTTTCAAGAATACATCCAAGAAAAAATTGTAACAGAACAGTTCTGGTTCCAATAATTTTGGATAAGGGATACTCCACCTGTATTAGCTCAAAGAAAGCTACATATAGACTCAGGCAAAGTCCAACAAAATAAGTAAAACAAGAACAGAGAGAGTAGAGTGATAGGAAAAGTGACAGCAGGGGGTTAATATGTTGCATTCATGGTCTATGAATATTTTCAAAATCAAATTCAGTTCTTCTTCTATTCTCAAAATGTGAATATGTTCATACATAATGACACAACAGGAAGTCTGCACATTAGTATTAAATTATGATACAGAGAAAAATTGCATGTGAATTTGGTCATAGCACTTTGCATTGGTGTATGAATATAATGATTATCAGGATGAGTTATTCCCATTACTTTATAGATAATGATCACCACAGGTACTGAGGAAGTTTTGAAGACAAGGAATGCCAGAAACATATTACAATTAAGTAAGAAGCTTCAAAGTAAAATAGAAACTGCACAGGAATATGGAAATATGTTAGACACACATTCTAACAGTTCTGAAGTTCCATAGCAGCACTAAATGCAAATTCTTTTTAACAATTCTACTTTAATATATTTTAACCATATATTCCTAACATATATTCAAGTGAGCACATTGTCTAGGTTTTTTCTTGATTTTTGATAAAATATGAGATTATAAAGAAATTAAAATATACAGTGTATAGCTGGTGAATCACTGTAAACTCACTGCTCTAGAAAAATGACAATTTTGAAAAAAAAAAGAGATGAATGTGTTCACTCAGGACTCTTCAAGTACTTTTGTAAGTAGCCAAAAACAGAACAAACCAATAGAACAAAAGAAGATTTTCTTGACTATTCAGATGCCTTTGTTGACTATTTTTAATACAGCAACTAATTTTAGTCCTTTACAAGAAAATATCTTGAATTTATAAGTATGCAAAATAGTTTATGTGTAGAAACATTTTCTGTGCATAAAATGCTGTTTCCTCTGCAAAAATGTGTATTTTTCCACTTGCAGAGTTAGGCCCTTTAACGGTCTGAGGGACCATGAACTGACCCTCTGTTTTAAAATTTTGAGGACCCCTGATATAAATTAGCAAACCACAGTGTGCTTGGATTTAGGGCCCTTGTACACATGCCCAAAACACGCAATCCAAATGATGCTTCAGGTTAGTCCAGATTAATCCAAAGTTAAGTGGGATTTCCCATTTTATTGTGTATCAATAAAACACCTCAATAGATCCAGACCTTACTGAAAGGTCCAGATCTGTTGAGATGGTGGCCTGTAGGGATTCCTGGGCCTGTGTTCCATAAACCCTGGGGTCAATCCCCACAGCCATCCCAGTTCTCTGGGCTTCTGGAGCTTGAATGAGAGGGAGGCTGCCCCTTCCTCACCAGCTCCCCATTCCTCCCAAAGAAACTTACTGGAAGGCCTGCTGGCAGCGCAAGACCTCTGTAGAAGATTCATGACACTTGGAAATGATACTGATTTCCCTTCCCCCACCTTCTGACACGTTATTTTCAAATGTGAGGAGTACTCTATGGAAGGGCCTGTGTTGCCAGCAAGCCCCTTGGGGAAGTTTTTTGGAGGAGGTGGGGAGCTAGGGGAGTGGCTGGTTGATCCAGGATGGCATCTAGCCATCCCTTGAGGGAAAGACTAGGGTTGTGGGAGGGTGTGAGGACAGAAATCCAGTAGGAAGTAGATTATTTTAACCCACTTCTTCCCATGTTTCTGCCCTGTATAGAAGGACTCGAATTGATCACTGCTACAAGGACTATGAGTTACTGAAGTTTACTGAAATTTCTGTCTCACCACATTCTTCAGCTTGTACTACTGGACTTTGAATAATTTTTGCAATTTGAATTTAGCATGGAATGTATCAAGAGCTGCCATTTTTGCATTTCTTCCATTTAGGAAGAAATAAATCATATAAGTCTGGAAATGTCACATCTGAATTAGTTTCAGTGTGGTCTTTCAACTGCACAACTTGTGAAAATGTAAGTAAAAAATACTCATTTCTAGAAAGGAATTACTTTCTAGAAATGTTTTTTCTATCCTTCCACATGAGATAGCCACTTTAAAAGAAAAAGCAACTAAATACTAACCATACTGCACATATTGGACAAGTATGAAGCACAACTGTTTGGATCCTGAGTACTGACCTTCTTTCTTCCTGCTTTTTTTAAAGATGCAAGCCTCTGTTCTGAGAGATGTTAAATGGCATAACTTTACTAACATAATGCTTTAGTATGTCACCTTCACTTCTGCGACTAATTTGTGCTTACAAAGTCTAATTAATTAATGCAGAGACAACTGAAACTTATTAAAACAATTATTATTCTCCCTTGAGATTTCTGTGCCAAATCCAGGCAATGTATTGTCTTAGCCTTTGAGTCCCCATATGTGCCATGACATTTTATAATTGGCAGCAATAACAATAGGTTAATTAATTATTTCCCATAATTCTTACAATGTATTGCGGGGCTTAAAAATCCCATATCTGATTTTTAACAATGGGAACCTTTGTTCTGCAACTACATGGCTTATAAGAGGTGGGCAGTAAAACACACACAAACGCAACAAAACAAACCACCCTTCAGAGTCCTATTCATTTGCTTTCCCACCATTTTAGCAGAATAGGGTTGTTTGTCTTTTGTTGGTTTTTGATCTACTATTTTATTTATTTATTATTTATTTATTTATTTACTGCATTTGTTGACCGCCGTTCTCAGCCCTAGGGCAACTCACGGCGGTGTACAACATATAAAAACAGTTTACAATGAAGCAATAACACAACAGCATATCAACATAACAATCAGCAATACAACAATAATATAATTACACTAAATCATCCGCACCGTCTCATCGTAGAATCATAAACCAATCTCGTAATCCATATTCCGTTCCAGTTGTCATTGCCAATTGTTATAGCACTTAGTTAAACGCCTTCTCAAATAACCATGTCTTTAGGCTCTTACGGAAAGCCATAAGGGAGGGCGCCTGTCTGATGTCAACAGGGAGGGGGTTCCACAGCCGGGGGGCCACCACCGAG